GCTCGAAAAAATCCGAGGTTGAAAAACCCGAGTTTTATTGGTTTGGTTTATAGATTTAAAAATCCGACACAAAAAGTTTAATTTGATATTTGAAAAACCCGAACCAACCCGGTTATGTACACCCCTAATTTTCACAATGTTTTAATCACTAGACTAAAAATTTACCTCGTGTCAAAAGATGTCAATATTTATATATATTTATTAAACTAAAATTAGACTTTCTATACGATGTAATTTTTCGATAAGGAATATCTCTTTACCCCCCTTATTATTCAAGGGTGGGTCTGCCCCTTCGATACATTGCATACACATGTCCATTTTGTTGAAAAGAATTTTTGTTACCCGTACATATTGGTAAGTAACCCTAAAATCAAATTCACTTTTTAGTAACCTGCAGTTTGATTGGCCCAATCCGTTTGTTTACTTGATCCATCATCGAACTTTTACATAAAACGAGTAAAAAAAATGTAACCTGCAGATTGGAAACTAAGTGGATTTGGGGGAAAGATTAAGCTAATAGTAATAAAAGAAAGTACACCAATTTTCTCTCTATTTTTCCATTATCATAAAGCATTTTATTTTCTTTAAAAGAAAAAATTAGAGAGATTTGATATTGTTGTACAAGTGAAGTATGATATCTTGCTCCTTTGATTGATATTCCCGATAAATAGATGGATTTACAAAGAAAATCAATAAATCAAGTTAACTATGATTTTTTGAAAAATTGACTAGTGATTTGATTTGATATTTTAAAAGTTGAATCATAACTAATTTAGTTTTAATTTTAAAAAAGGGTCAAATTTAATTATATTTGTATAAAAGCATTATCGGAAAGAACTCGAGGTTGAAGCAAGTGCAAATTGATTACAATATTTTATCCTCTTGCACAATTTTTAATCAAGTAAATATCATTTCGCCGCCACTCAAATTTTGATGTGTTACCTAAAGAATAGGATAATTTAAAATATATTTTTTAATTACATAAATTAAGATTTGAATTATTTTATTAGGCTCTTAAAGTAAAATGGAACATTCAAAGTCTTCTAAGCTATTCATAGAAAGAAACGTGTTTGACCAAACAGACCGACACTTATGGGGTGTGTTTGGTAGGGAGGAGAACATTTTTGAGAAAATGTTCTTTCAATTTTCCTGTATTTTTCACTTTGATTTTGAAAAAAAAAAATCTAGAAAAAAGTAAACTTCTTAAAAATAAAAGAAATAATTTCCTTAATGAAAATGAAATTTCTTTTGTATAAATAACGTTCTAAATTTATTGTCTCCTTCCACCCATCAATCTTATTAAAAATATTGGGTTGCGATGAACCATATGCTTATAAACTTTATCTTCTACCAAAACTCGCTAACTTGATTGATTCAAATTTTAAAGGCTTAGATCTGAAATTTCTAATCAAAATTAGAGAAATCACATTCATATCCTACATATGTCATTAGATAATTTTACCAAAAGCCGTCTATTTAATCACATCTACTGAACCAATCATCTAAAAACTTATTAAATTGCAAATCTGGAGCTAAAGGCAGAGTGAATTTCAATTAGTATATTCGTCATACGTGATATAAAAAATGCTATCTCAGCTCTTTCTTTTTGACTCATACATTGTCTTCTATACGTGCACACCATATATACATTTTTTTTCTTTCAAAATTTTACAAGATCTTATCATTTAGCTGGCGGCTAAAATTGGAAAATAATTGTCAAAGCCATCCAACATGCTACTATTATTTATTCCCAATTGGGCTATATTATCTTAGTGCATGTCTTCTGCTAATATTATTACTTATGTGTTTGCTATATATAGAGAGAGAGGGGACGTTACCTCCATATATACTCCAAAATCATATTACAAGTGATATTAATTTCTAGTATAAACAATGTCTTTTGTTATGCTCAAGAATCTCTTGCTATCCCCTCTTCGTAAATTCATCCACAAAGATTTCCATGAGATCTTCGAGAAAATGACCCTCATCGATAAATTATTTTTTCTGGTAAAGAAGAGTTCGACCAAATATTTTATTTTATGTCCTAGTTGATCCTGATTCGATAGTTATTTTTTTTTGTTTATTGTCTACGTAGTTGCTAATAATGTGAGATGCATGCAGATTGTTCATTTTATTGATAAGTACAACTTTTGGCACCGGCTACCGGTGTTCTTTGGGCTACTTTATCTTGGAGCACGGCGGACTCTTCACCAGCAATATAATTTGATCAACGTCGGTAGAACACCTACCGGCGTTCGATCAAATCCGGCAGATTACCCTTATAGAACTGCTGATGGAAAATTCAATGACCCTTTTAATGAAGGAGCAGGCAGTCAATTTTCTTTCTTTGGCAGGAATATGATGCCTGTTCATCAGGATAATAAGGTATATATATAATTGCATAAATCAGCAGTAAATTTTCTATATCAATAAGTTAGACGAGACAAAAACAATGATACTCCCGTCGATTTAATTCAAGTGTTTTAGTTTGACTAATACAAAATTAAGAAACAAGGAAAAACTTTTGAATCTTCATGTGGGCTTAAATTAAAAATGTATGTAGTCCTGTAAATTTGTGCTATTAAAATTGCACATGTAAAGAAAATGAATTTATATATGAGACACCCGGTAAATCATAAATTGATATGTGTCTGACTCTAATAAGAGGGGTCCAACATATAAAAAAAATAATCAATTTTAAACCTAACTTTATCCTAAAAAAGTCAGCGCATTAGGGAGAAGCCATACGTAACAAAACAAACTAAAAAGAAAAATAAAATACTTGAATTGGGACGGGGAGAGTAATTAGTATTAAAGAAGAAATCTTAAAGGAGGTAGGTGATAGTAAAGGACAAAGAAATTAAATTTCGTATTAGTATTATTTTTAATAGACGGGTTAGCTTTTAGGTAACAAAATGACGGCAAATTATTTAAACATATTCTTTTCACTTTTTCTAATAAAAATAAAATGAAATGTGTGCAGTTAAAGAAGCCAGATCCAATGGTAGTAGCAACGAAGCTTCTAGCACGAAAAAAATTCATAGACACAGGAAAACAATTCAACATGATAGCTGCCTCTTGGATACAATTTATGGTTCATGATTGGATCGATCATTTGGAAGACACTCAACAGGTAAGCCTACTTGAATTTCATTTTTTTGGCCCTTTTTAAGAAGCATTTTGATAATGAAATGTTTTCATTCAATTTGTGAAAAATAAAATGGAGTAATTAATAGGGAAGCTTACGTAAATGTACATTGTCACCTAGCTATAGTTCACTAACATGACCATCGAAGTGTACATTACTTATACACTTTAGTTGATATATTGTGTACGTATTTTATAAACTAGATGATCCCAAAGATGTTAGACTGTAATTTTCTGGAAGTATGTAATTTGTGACATACTTTGATGGTACTAAAAATTTTGTGCACAGGTTGAGCTAAGGGCACCAAAAGAAGTTGCTAATGAATGCCCTCTCAAGTCCTTTAGGTTTAACAAGTCCAAGGAAACTCCTACAGATTTTTATGAAATCAAAAAAGGTCACTTGAACATCCGTACTCCCTGGTGGTAAGATCTCTAAATATCTATCATAAATTCATTTAGACAAACTAAATTATTATTATTATTATTATATTATCTGGTCCAAAATAGGTGTTGCTTTAGAAAAGAAAGATAGAGTAGTGCGGAATAATTATTTTTGAATTTTCACATGAAGGGACGGAAGTGTAATTTATGGAAGTAACGAGGATGTTTTGAAGAAAGTGAGAACATTTAAAGACGGAAAGCTGAAATTATCAGAAAATGGACTCATCCAACAAGATGAAAATGGAAAAATTATCTCTGGTGATGTTCGTAACACTTGGGCTGGACTTTTAACACTACAAGCTCTCTTTGTTCAAGAGCACAATGCTGTTTGTGACACTTTGAAGGTACGTACTAATTATGAAGGTATAAATACCTATTAATAACACGAAAAATGAAACATATATGGACGATCTTGAATCTTTTTTAAAAAAAACTTTGATTTTCAATATTTCAGAAAGAATATCCAGAATTAAAAGACGAAGAGTTGTATCGTCATGCAAGGCTAGTCACTTCAGCTGTCATTGCAAAAGTTCACACCATAGATTGGACTGTTCAGCTTCTCAAAACCGATACTTTGCTTGCTGGAATGCGTGCCAATTGGTTAATATTTATCTCTCTTACACTAGTTATTTTGATATTTTAATTACCATACTATATAAGTATATATCAACTATACTATCGATGGCGCGTGATTAAATTAAAATTAATTTGTATGACAGGTATGGATTACTAGGAAAGAAATTCAAGGATACATTTGGGCATGTTGGCTCCATTTTAAGTGGTGTTGTTGGAATGAAAAAACCTGAGAATCATGGAGTGCCTTATTCCCTAACTGAAGAATTCGTGTGTGTTTATAGAATGCATCAACTCTTACCTGATACACTTCAGCTAAGAAATATAGATGCCACGCCTGGACCAAACAAATCTCTCCCTTTGACTAATGAGTAAGCCCTCATGCAAAATTCTCATCGTAACAAACTTTACTTATTATAATACTAAATTAACTTTATCCACTATAATTTCAATATTATATATACATAAAATTGTAGAATTCCGATGGAAGAAGTAGTTGGGAGTAAAGGAAAAGAGAATTTATCAAGAATTGGGTTTACTAAGCAAATGGTTTCAATGGGGCATCAAGCTAGTGGAGCTCTTGAGCTTTGGAATTATCCAGTGTGGATGAGAGATCTTATTGCCCAAGATGTTGATGGAACTGATAGGCCACATCATATTGACCTTGCAGCCCTTGAAAGTAAGTTTATTTTCCTATTACGTACAATCAGAATATCATCAATAAAATATATAGGGCTTTATTGTTAATAATTATTTGTTGAATAATTAGATCTTTTCCAATAATCAATAAATTAATTATATTTTGATGGCAGTTTATAGAGATAGAGAAAGAAGTGTGGCTAGGTACAATGACTTTCGAAGAGGAATGCTACAAATTCCTATTTCGAAATGGGAAGATTTGACGGATGATGAAGAAGCAATCAAAACACTTCGTGAAGTATATGATGATGATATAGAAGAGTTGGATTTATTAGTGGGACTCATGGCGGAGAAAAAGATTAAAGGATTTGCCATTTCAGAAACTGCGTTCAACATATTCCTTCTCATGGCTATAAGGTTTGTAAATAAAAACAAGAAAATTTTATGCATTACTATAATATTTTGTTTACACAATCAGGTAACTAACTTATACGAATTCACAGGAGGTTAGAGGCAGACAGATTTTTCACGAGTAACTATAACGAGGAGACGTATACAAAGAAAGGATTGGAATGGGTGAATACTACTGAAGGTTTGAAAGATGTGTTAGATCGTCACTATCCAGAAATGACTGAAAAATGGATGAATTCAAACAGTGCATTTTCTGTTTGGGACTCTTCTCCAGAACCTCACAATCCTATTCCACTCTATTTTCGTGTTCCTCAGTAGTAGACCTCAAAATCATGTGTGTAACTTTTTATTAATACCGTAATATGTACAAGTTTGTATTTAAGGTGTCTTGCTCTATTTTATCAAAATAATCTATTGTTTCTTGATTTGTGAAAATTACTGTTAATGATCATTTGAGATATTAACTCCTATTATATATATATATATATATATATATATATCTTGGGATGTCTTATTATTAAATTGTTCGAGGAGATACATACACTTGCGCGCACTAGCTATCCTATATATGGACCAGCTTGTTGTATGGAAAATATTTACATGGACCATGCATCATAATGCTTGAAGATTAATTCAACAAAAAGTAGGTATTTATCTTTATCTAGAAGTTTAGAATTAGCGGTAGTGCATTATTTATTATATTTGAAATTATAAAAAGGTACATATATGTTTTAATTTGTTTCTTGAAATTTTGATCTTTCAAAATGTTAAACCAAAGCAGTAGGCATCCATATTATAATTACATCGCATATTATTCCTACGTGAACACGCCAGAAGTATAATTATTTAACAATCTCCTTTAAATAATTTTCCATCCATGACACTTCGAAAATACAAATTTATGGTAAAACGCTTTCTAATATAAACAACTCCATTTACGCGTCCAGCTCAACATAATAACAGAATCACAGTAACATAATTAGTTATATCTAATTGCACTTATCAACTAACTATTCAGAACTGTTAGCTAACTAATCAGTATGGTTAAGTGACTCATTTCTCAATACATAGATGATATTGAGCTACATACGTTTGGCTACAATGTCTAAATTGTCAAAGCCATCCAACGTGTGCTATTTTTTATTTTTATTTTTTTTGTAAGTAGGTGTCTAATGCCTTATGCTTCTGTTAATTATATAGTATCTATATATTAGTATTATATAAAGAGGATGTTCTCTTCATATATACTCCAAATTAAACAAAAAAGCATCATATCATATTACAATTGTCTTTATTATCGTATAAATAATTAACGACGAAATTGATAACGTAACGTGTTTGGTTATGTCATTCCTCGAGAATCTCTTGCTATCCCATCTTCTTAATTTCATTCACAGAGATTTTCATGAAGTCTTTGAGGAAATGACTCTAATCAACAAATTTTTGTTTCTGGTAATTCTTTTATTAGATTAATTATCTTCTTCATTTTTAACCCTAATTCTCAAACTGATTATATTTACCTTTTGAACTGATAGGAAGCAAAGTCATCCTTGTACGATAAACTTTTGCTACTTTAATAAAAGTTTATTAAAATATCAAATTCGTCATGTCTGATTTTCGACTCAAAAGAAGTGATCAACATTACAATTAATTTCTTTCCATTATTATTATTATTTTAAGTTCGTTATAATAATTAATGTGAGATGCATGCAGATGGTCCATTTCGTTGATAAATTGAACTTTTGGCACCGGCTGCCGGTGTTCCTGGGGCTAGCTTATCTTGGAGCGCGGCGACGTCTTCACCAGCAATATAATTTGATCAACGTCGGTACAACACATACCGGAAATTCGGGGGATTACCCTTATAGAACTGCCGATGGAAAATATAACGACCCTTTCAATGAAAATGCAGGCAGTGAATTTTCCTTCTTTGGGAGGAATATGATGCCTGTTCATCAGCTTAACAAGGTAATAAGTAATGCTTAATTAATTCTATTACCTTTAGTTTAATTAAAAATTAAGAGACCTAATTTGTACTAATTTCTTTATTCCAAAAAAAATAAACATAAAAAATGCGCATGCAGTTAAAGAAGCCAGATCCAATGGTAGTAGCAACGAAGCTACTAGCACGTAGAAAATTCATAGACACTGGAAAACAACTTAACATAATAGCTGCATCTTGGATACAATTTATGATTCATGATTGGATCGATCATATGGAAGACACTAACCAGGTCAGCCTAGCTAGCTACTTTTATTATTTTTTCGGCGACTCAAGAATCAATTTCATTCTATGCTCCATCGATCATATTAGAGAATTAAATTTTACTTCCATTGACTAAATTTTATTGTTGTTGGTAATATTAATGTTGTGCATGCACAGATGAAACTTGATGCACCTAAAGATGTTGCAAGTCAGTGCCCTCTCAAGTCTTTTAAATTTTACAAGTCCACCGAAACTCCTACGGGCTTAGATGAAATCAAAACAGGTCACTTGAACAGACGTACCCCTTGGTGGTAAATATTTCATACTGCAATAATTTTATATTTTTGCTCTAATTGAAATATTAGTATAATGTATATATATGCGTATTAAAACATTTGATGACATGTTTTTCTATTATTTATTAAAATTCTCTTGTATTTTGTATAATATAATATGATGATGAAGGGATGGAAGTGCAATTTATGGAAACAACGCAGATGATTTAAAGAAAGTAAGAACATTTATAGACGGAAAATTGAAACTATCAGAAAATGGACTCATCCAACAAGATGAAAATGGAAAAATCATCTCTGGTGATGTTCGCAATACTTGGGCTGGACTTTTGACACTCTATGCTCTCTTTGTTCAAGAGCACAATGCTGTTTGTGATGCCTTGAAGGTACTAATAACTAGTCATATTAATTACTCCTTGGTCCACTTTTATTTATTATGTTGCAATTTTCGAAAATTAATTTTATTAATTTTCAAAAGTTAAATAGATTTCCTTAATTTAATATTTTAAACAAAAAATTTAGATATTAAAAAACTATAAGAAAAGTACTATAAGTTTGCAATTTTTTGCATCTCGTGAAAAAACACTTCATAAAATATTAGTTAAAGTTTTTATAGTTAGACTGAAACCATGACAATTAAAAGTGGGCGAAGGGAGTTGCAATTACCTTTTAACGTATCATATATTATTATTATTATTATGGAATTCACTACTAAAAAACAACGTCGCTGGTCCGTCACTATTGCTCGTCGCTAATTTAAATTTATCTAGGATTAGCAACGGATTTTAGTGTTTAGCTACAAAATATTTTCTGTTGCTAAATCCAGTTTTTTCTTGATTCTTGATATTCCATTTTTCCAGAAAGAATATCCAGAGTTGAAGGACGAAGACCTGTATCGTCATGCTAGGCTGGTGACTTCTGCTGTCATTGCAAAAGTTCACACCATAGATTGGACTGTCGAGCTTCTCAAAACTGACACCTTGCTCGCCGGAATGCGTATCTCTTGGTTAATATTCTTATAAATTACTTTGTCACATTTCATGTGGCACCATTTGACTTCACATAATGTTTAAGGAGAAAAAAAAAAACTTTTGAAACTTGTGGTCCAAAACAATCCTTATGTGATTGTAAATTATTTCACTAAGGGTAAAAGGAGAATTTTAAAGTTAAATTATTTCTAATTACAATTCTTCTTGAGACCGACTAAAAAATGAAAAGGTGAAAAAAAAATGTGACATTCTTTTTCATGTTTTGTGACGAAATAATTAATATTGTAGGTATGGATTGCTAGGGAAAAAGTTTAAGGATACATTTGGACACATTGGAGGAGATTTTTGGTTGAGTGGTTTTGTTGGAATGAAGAAACCTAGAAACCATGGCGTGCCTTACTCTTTAACGGAGGAATTTTCGAGTGTCTATCGTTTGCATCAACTCGTACCTGATACTCTTCAGCTGAGAAATATAGATGCAACACCTGCACCAAACAAGTCTCTCCCTTTGATTAATGAGTAAGTCACATTTCAAACAACCTCTTATATATATACGCGCACACTTGAAGATGATTATATATAATATGTTAAATTAAAGTACTCATATATATTGCATTAGGATCCCAATGGAAGATTTAATTGGAGGTAAAGGAGCGGAGAAATTATCTAAAATCGGGTTTCTTAATCAAATGGTTTCAATGGGGCATCAATCTTGTGGAGCTCTTGAGCTTTGGAATTATCCAGTGTGGATGAGAGATCTTGTTGCTCAAGATGTTGATGGAACTGACAGACCAGATCATGTTGACCTTCCAGCTCTCGAAAGTAAGTTTATTCGTTTTATTACTATTTAAAATATTAGTAATTCACTTATGATATTTGGATGGTACGTAGTTTATAGGGACAGGGAAAGAAGTGTTGCAAGGTACAACGAATTTCGAAGAAGGATATTTCAAATTCCCATCACTAAATGGGAAGATTTGAGCGATGATAAGGAAGTTATTGAAACACTTGTTGAAGTATATGGTGATAATAATGTAGAAGAATTGGATTTGTTAGTCGGAATCATGGCGGAGAAAAAGATCAAGGGCTTTGTTATTTCTGAAACTGCTTTTTTCATATTCCTTTTCATGGCAGGAAGGTACGTAATTGGTATATATACAAATTTTATGTGTACTACTCCATATATATATGATGAGTTATAAAAGTTGATATATTTTGAAAATGCATAGCAGGAGGCTAGAGGGAGATAGATTTTTCACAAGCAATTACAACGAGGAGACATACACAAAAAGAGGATTGGAATGGGTGAATACTACTGAAAGTTTGAAAGATGTGTTAGATCGTCATTACCCAAAAATGACTGAAAAATGGATGAATTCCAGTAGCGCATTCTCTGTTTGGGACTCTTCTCCACAACCTTACAATCCTATTCCACTTTATTTACGTCTTCCTCACAAGTAGATCTCTCATCTATTGTGAATGAAGTTTGTATTGTATTTATGGTTCCTTGTTCTATTTCTAATAAGCCAGCTTGCACTACTGTTTCAGCTTCTAATATTGATGTTTTAATAAGACATCTTTAATTTCTTATATATATATATATATATATATTATACTATCAAAGTTTCATGTTTTACCAACATGGATTGTGGTGAAGTGAAATTATTCGTGTTAGGTCACGTTGAATGAGAACTCTTCCAACGAATTAACCTTATAGTTAAATAAACTGATATCATTATATTTCATAGCATAATCTTAACTTGAACCTAAGATTAAAGATGTCTATGAATATCGGAGCTACTTAATTAGTATTGTTTCAGATTTTAATCTAGCTCTTTTAATTCCTTACAACTTTTTTCTTTGATAAAAGAAGCAGGTCAATTTCACAATTTGTCAGGCACTCCCACTGTTTGTTTTTTTAAAAGCATTATTGTAGTGCTGAAAGTACCAATAATTGAAGGGAAGTGCATAAATTGTCGAAATGTCAACAATCAATTAGTGTCACCATTCACCTTCCACAGTGTTACCGTTCCACTCCAAACTTCACTTGTCTTTTTTAGTTGAATGGGTGCCAATTATATCCGAAAAGGTAGGGTAGAGTGGAGTAATAAATGTTTAATTAAATGTTTCGTGTTTAAGTTTGATCGACATCGACACAAATCTACATCGGGTCCAATATTACTCCAAACTTCACTTGCTCTTTTGTCGTTTATTTGAAAGGAAACCAATTATGTAGATTGCCCCTTTATCACACCAAAGCACAATATTTTTATCACTCCCACAAGTAACTCTCATTTCTCATGAGGACAACTACTACTTAGCGTGCCCATTCATCTAATGTTTTTTGTCTATCTTTAATTACATCACAATTATATGCACTAACTAATTTCCTTTCGGTGAAATGATATGTCATCAATTATTAAATTTCAATCGAATACCAGTAGATTTTCACATAAATAAGTAAGATATAAAATTTCAAGCCTTGCACATCATTAAAGTAATATTGACATGGAAGAAAAAGAAGGAGAATCGAGGATATAAAATTTCAAGACTTACCATGTAACTAGATTTCAATAAGAATTTTGGACTCTAATCTCCGATAATAGATAGATAAAATTAACTAGATGGATATAATGAATCAATTCTTATTCCGCATTTCCCCATAGCATCAACTAATGTATATAAATCATGACTTCCTCAGACCAATCATAAATAGTTTACCACATTTAGTCATAAACGAAAGGTTTAAATATTTAGTCTTGGTCTAATTACAAATTGTACAAAGAAGAAGGTTTGATTCGAAAAAAACTTTTGCAAGTTGAAAGTGCTGCTGTCTGATTAGAAAATGAAATAACATACTTTTTGATGAATAGATGGTTAGGAATTAACCAAATTTGCACAACCTCTACTCTAAGATAATAAAAAACAGAAAATGTCATCTCCAATATGGGACCTTAGGAATAAAAAAAAGTGTAAAGATTTCAACTTTAATTTCCATATAAACTTGGCTAAAAAAAACAGTTGTTTTAATTCCAATATAAGCTTAGCTGAAAAAACAGTTACTTTAATTCTGGTCCATAATATATAAGTAGTATTACTAAACACACACGCTGGTATGATTAAATATCAGATTTTTCAGGTAGAGCTCATGTCCGCCACGCGGAGAAATTGATATTTGGGAAATACAAAAGTTGAAGTTCTTGAAGCAAAAATGGGAAGCAATAACAACAGAGAGACAACTTTTTACAAAGAAGTGCTACCATTTACAGCTATGGTGACTATGGAATGTATAAATGTTGGATTAAATACACTTTACAAAGCTGCTACTAACAAAGGCATGAGTAATCATGTCTTTGTTGTTTATAGTCATTGCCTTGCTGCTCTTCTACTTCTTCCTTCTCCTTTCTTCTCTGCCAGGTACATACTCTGTTTTTTTTTTCTATTGCATGTTTGTAAAATTTGATCAAGAATCTGATGGGGGTTTGAAAAAATGGAATCATTTAACTGCAGATCAAGAATACTTCCACCTCTCAATTGCTCAATTTTCGCCAAAATCTTTCTTCTTGGAGTTATCGGGTACCAATTCGACTCTTTTTCTTGTTTTTTTTCACTCTCAATCTGTCAATATGCTAAAAACCCAAAAAAAGTTCGGTTATTTTCGAGAAAATTAGGATTATTGGATGTTGTTAGTCTTAAAAATGAGCAAATCAATTGAATTTGTTGATGAGAATGATCCCACTGGACAATCTTCTTTCCTTTGAACTAGTTTGACATAGTATCAAAGTCAGATCCATTTGACAGGACCATGGGTCTCTTAGCCATCTTCGTTCCATTGAGCTGACTTTTGGAGTGTCCAAAGTTTAATTTGACAGAATTCAATTGTTAAAGTTAGTGCTGAACCAATAAAGAGAGATCAAAAAGTCAAACCTCAATAATGTGAGATTAAAGTACAAGTTGATTGATACTTCAATAGTAATTCTGTTTCAGATGTGGAAATTTACTAGGCACAAGCTCAATAAGAATTTTTGTAACGTTTTGTCGAGTCAATTCCCTAAATGATCATTCAAGTTTAGGGAATTGTCTTGAAATATCATTTATGTTTCATTTTAGGACCAAAATATCACTCAACTACCACTATTTCCTCCAAATATACTTGACACTCCAAAAACCTCACTCTCTCCTAGTTGGCATGACATGTCATTAAAATCTTTTTTTTAATAATAGACTAATTCAATTCATTAAACCGATTTAACTAAAATAATGATCATATTAAATTTTCATACTTAAAAAATCTTTTATCATAATTATTATTTTTACTTTTTTATGCGATGAAGAATAGTTTTTTAAAACTTACCATAATATAATCAATTTTGAATAATTATAAACATATATATTCAAAAAAATATTGAGATATAAATCACTTATGAATGTCAACTTACATCAATTAATCATATATTATATAATGGATCAATAATATTAAAGGTCAATTAACTATTAAAAAATAATTAATTGGGTGCTTTGAAATCCATATACACTTACAATATCTTTTTTGAAAAGAAAATAGAAAGTGAATATTATTTATATTAGAAAATTAAATTGATGTTATATATTAGTATATTAATCTCATATAATATGTATATTATTGAATTAAAATAGGCAATTCAATTAATTACTACTTGTATTTCATAAATTTGAGATGAGATAAGTATATATATATATATATGAGAAGTTAAAATATATAAAACAGAATAAAAGAATAAAAATAAAAATTACATTAAAAAAAAAGTTAAATAGTAATTTTCTCTTTCATACCAACTTTTTTGTCAACCTTATAAATTTATTTGAATACTTTTATGGAAAAAATTGCTTAAAATTTTCAAATAATTTACTTA